TATAAATGCTATAAAACCCCCCTCAACCTTCTCCCTCTCTCTCTCATGTTCTCGTCTCTCTCTACTCTCTCTACTCTCTCTACTCTCTCTCTCTCCTCCCTTTGAGTTTGCTATCCACAACAAAATGTTACATGTGCTCTTTTGAAGCTTAGCTCAAGGGACCAACTATATATAATCTCATACAACCAATCAAAAGAGAGAGAGAGGGAGAGAGGCGGAGAGCAAGAGGCTGGTATCGTATAGCTATTGCCAATGGAGAAGCCAAGTCCGAGACCAGGTATCGTCGTGCACCAAAATGTAATGACCAAATTGCCCCCGGGGTTCAGGTTCCACCCAACCGATGAGGAGCTAGTCGTCCAATACCTCCGGAGAAAAGCCTACTCGTGCCCATTGCCCGCCGCCATCATCCCCGAGATCGACCTCGGGAAACACGACCCTTGGGATCTCCCCGGTAAGAATCTACAGTGGGTTTTTTTTTAAAAAAAAAGAAATCAATAAAACAGGAAATTCCATGCATTACGCTGTCGCAGCTCAATCTTATGCCGCTTGTGAACTGAACTTGTTAGGTGGGCGTGAACATGAGAGATATTTCTTCGCCCTTAGAGAGGCGAAGTACCCGAACGGTAATCGCTCTAATCGGGCGACTGGATGCGGGTACTGGAAGGCGACGGGGAAAGACAAGGCGATCGTGGCGTCGAAGTGCAATCAAGTGGCGGGGATGAAGAAAACCCTAGTCTTCTATTGCGGAAAGGCCCCCAGCGGGTCAAAGACCGACTGGATAATGCACGAGTATCGCCTAGCTAGCCCTCCTCAGAGAAAGAAGTCGACCAATGTAAAAAATTCAAGCTTCCTCTCAACTCACACCAAATTTATGCATCTCTTTTCGCTTAGTTTTTTGAAGTGGCTACGCTCTTTTGCAGAGTTCCATCGTCCTCCCCCCAAGAGATTGGGTGTTGTGTCGCATATTCATGAAGAAAAGAGCTACAAGGATGGATACGGACACCGAGGAAGGAGAACATCCCGTCGGTTTCATAGACTTCTTGGGTCAGCGAAGAGACGATCGTCGCCCTTCCTCACCGTCCAACTCAGATTCTAGTTGCGTTACCTACACGTGATTCTAGCAATGGAGATGATCACACTTCGTCGTCTCCATAAGGAGGGAGGAGGAGGAAGAAGGGGAGAACATAGTGAGGGAGGGGGCGGAAAAAAAAAATAACCTTTATATATGAGCCTTTTTTTGCGTATATTTAAAAACTCTTAGGGACTTTGTAAGTTTTTCTAAGATGTAAACTTTGTGTAAGTTTCTTCTCGATGCAAAAGAGAGCCTCTGTATACATATCGTGCTAGCCTAGAGCTTCAAATTGTACGTCTTTCCCTTTGCACAAATTAACATGGCAATATGAATTACTGAACTACGTATAATTCAATTGCAAATTAATATGGCTCATCATTGTACCAAGATTGCAAAAAAGCCCCTGATCCGCACAATCATGACGTCATCAATGAGGGGGGGTGGGGGTGCACAAGAAAAGGATCCGACGGGCACGGATCCATGTGAGATGCCCTCGGTCAGAGGGAACTCCTGCGAGTGGGCCACTTGGCCAGAGACACGAGTCTCAACCCAAAATATTTGCTCAAGATTGCGGAATTGACAAGGGGAGGGTGGAGATCAACATCAAGAATGCGACCCATGATGTAGTTGTGCCCTGTTGTAGCTAGGCTTTGATCAGGTCTACGCACTTTGGTCAATGTTGGGGTTAAATTTTGCAAGCAACGTCCCACTCCAGTGAGCTTCTCAACCTCCCAAGAGGGTAAAACCAAAAAGGGCATTTACGTGAATTATATGCATTTAAAAAAAGGGGTTTTCGACCTACACGTATAATTTGATTGATGTTATATGACACCTGACCTATAATATTAAGTTAATTACGAACATAGCTTAAGCTGATCCTATGTCATACCTAGTATTACGGGTGCAAGCCAGTTGGATACCGATAGGATATGATACGTATCGTATCTCCATCCAATTAGCAATCATCAGAATATATATATCGCTAAGGAAAATATATACCAGTATACACAAAAATCAAATACAAATACATATATAAAGTAAAAGGATAATATATGCAAAGGCAAAACGAATAGGGGGAAAACATGTAAGATTGAAAAACGTACCAAGAGAGACCCCTAACGTATTCTTCACGTCTAAAAAGCTAAAACTAAATCTCTGAATCATCGAGATCAACCCTAAATCGATTAGTCTAACGGTCAAAACGATTGCAAATGCGTGACCAACATATATTCTGATATTTCGGATAAGGATCCAAAATTTTCACTACATACTCATATCCGTAATCGTATTCCGTCGAATATGGATGCTAGTCAGAGTATAGGAGACCAGACATATTATACCTTCGTCAACATACTATTAAAGAAATAAACTATCAAGTAATCAAAGCACACCAAGAAAAACATGTCATGCACAGCTGGTCTATTGAGGGCACCCAGCCAAAATAGTATTCAGTAATGTTAATGTACGCCATTCACTAGTAGTCCCACATTATGACATCATCCATCCGAGCCGGCCACAACCCAAGCAACAGGAGTTGAATTCAAATCTTATGAATGAAAGCAACACCATTGCAAACGCTGAAGACGCCAAGGGAAAAAAAAAAGGGCTTTCAAACTGGTAATTAAGACGATGTTGTAATTTGCAAATAGTTTCCCACAAGAAAGAAAATAAACAACTGAAGAAAAATTATCGCATCCAACAAGTAAATTGTGGCGATTAATGGAGGTATCAGAATGAATGTGAGAACCAGTTGAGGTGAATAACCTCGAATTCTAAGAGAGAAGGTAGTTCAGCAACCTCAAAAACAAATACATTTGATGATAATAGTACTGCAAGCAACAATCAAACGAGAACCAGCATGAGCAACCGTAGACATAACTTTATAGTTGAGATTACAAATGCAAAGCAGTAGGTTAACAACTACACAGACTAATGAATCTTATAACTTTTAACAAATTGATTGCAGTGCATCTCTATGATCTTATATCATGTGCTATTTACTAAGTAGAGGTGTCCTCAACACAAATGATATTAACAAAAGACTTGAATAACATGCAAAAGCCACGATGGAGAGCGAAAAGCTTGACATACTTCAATGCTTGCGGTATGAGATCACTCCATGAACAGTGACTAAGGCAACTAATAGGCCATCTATAGTATGCAAGCCTATATTCATTGTGTGGGGCTACAAAAAAATTAATAGCAAACTTCCAAGTTTAAAGGAGATGGAAGCACATGGGAAACTTGAAATGCACAAATAACCAAAACCAAGGAAAGAAACAACAATCCATAAGAAGCCTTCAAGCTTTCTAATTATAAATCATACAAATGGTTGATTACACTTTTAGTTCATGATGCAAGCCCTTTTGTAGCTGCAATCACATAACAACAAGGCACCTTGATTTTCTGCATATATTTAGCTAATGACTAGATGAATGCATATAATTAAACAGATACAGCATCACCTAACTAAACCTTCACAAGAATAGGCAAGTTTAGAGATTAATTACAGGTAAAACAACACACAGGAGAGACGCCAAGCTCAGTCAATAATAGAGTAGATTCACTGCTCATCTAACCCGTAATGCATTTTCGCAAAACAATACAAATTAAGCAAGGATATGAATATTAAATTCATGGACGGTGTTAATTAACTCTTGTTATCGTGTTTTTATTCTTGATTTGTCTTGTAAACAACAGGTACAAAAAATATAAATAAACATACAACAACAGCGATGGACTCCGCCAATAATGATGAAAAAGATTTTTCGAGAACCTTGGAGAAAAGGAAAGCCGGGATGGAATAGCAAAATTAAATTTCTATACTAGACAACAAAAGCGATTAGTAAACATAACTACAGTCAAAATACGACGTGGGTCCCCCGAGTGAGGGGTGAAGAGCTGGGTGTGGCAGCAAGCGGGTGAGTTTCTGTGCTCATAAGCTTATGTAATTGTGAAGTGTTACGTGCTTGCCATGGCATTGTGCTTAAAAGAACTGCCGACCAGAGTTTTCTTGTGAGTGTGGTTTTGGGATCCGACCTCCAACTAAAGCCCTTGGTGTGTTCTCTCACGACACTATCAATATTGCCTTTAACTTATCATTTCCAAATTTATTATTCGAGCCTTTTCTAACATGACCAGATTATTATTACTAATAAAAAAAGACAATATTGTAGAAGTGGACAGAGTTGTTTAATAGGTTTGATTTGGCCTCTTCACTTGTTACCAATTTTCTATCGCTTTGACCAATCGAAACCCAAATCGTAACACAACCTTGTCGGGGATATATTCTAAAGGAGCTAAGTCTGTATTAATCAACCTTGATAACTACATATTCTTGTTATACAAGTGATCATTAAGATAAACCTCGCGGTCACATCGCGAGTAATTCAAACAATAATGCCCCAAGCGACGATTTTCCACAAGGTCGCAAACTCAATACTGTAACTAATCCCCAAAACCACTGATACCATATACGTTCGTTCACACAACCGATGTGGGACTATTCACTTCTGCAGTTCTAGAGCTTGTTGGAGAGAATGAGGAGGATGGGAGGAGGTTGAATTGAATGAAAGAAAGAGTTTGATAAGTTGAAGGGAAGTAGAAGAAGAAGAAAGGAAATGGTGGGGGCAATGGGGGCAGTTAGGACAGTGTACAGTCACCAAGCATGTCTACAGCACATGGAGATGCATGCCTTTCCATGTAATCCAATAGAAAAGAGGAAAGAGAAGAGTGACAAACTTTACTACCACTTTTGTTACGCTCGCCCTTTTTAATCAAAATAAGAAAACCCCATGTCAAGAATCATACCATAAAGTGGAAGTGGTTCAATGCATTACATATTAGCTTACTTGTGTACTATAATCCTAAATATACACATACATAAAGCAAAGCAACCAAAAGGTTGTCTGATTTTGCAAAAGACAGTTGCAATTACAATTGCGCTGTTTGTTTCAGTATATAGCTATAACCTATTTACAATTAACCACTTTTTTGTAAAATTAGGAAAAGGTCAATTTTGCATAAAAAGAAAAAAGAAAAAGGGTTAATTGCTGCGTAGTTCCCTGTAATATCGTTGTTTTGGACTTACGACACTGTAGTGTCATTGTTGTAGATAGATCCGGGTTAAATTTTTTTGACTCTCCTTCCCTCAGACTCAGGTAGACTCACTAATTTCACCCAAAGGCAATCTTTATATAATTTCGACTAGAGTAGAAGAGTCTCCAAAAAAAAAATTACCCTAGGGGTCTATCTACAACAATAAAACTACAGCGTTAGTAAGTTCAAAACAGCGGTACTACAAGGGGTTTATGTACAATTAACCCAAAAAATGATCCTTATTTTGTGACTACAGTTTTCAGCGAAACAAACGGCTAACACTAGAACTAATGTTTTGCAAATTGCAACTACAATTACAATTGTAATTTTCCGCACACCAAACAGCTTGTAATTATTGTTTTTTTTTCTTCATGTTTAAGGAAGCTTAAGTTCATGTCATTTTACTTGCTACCGAACAATTGCAACAGAAATGTCAGAGCAAGTAAAATGAATAATGCATTCTACTATGTGAATGAGATCACGTGTGTTTGTTGAAGGTTGTTGCCAGAGCATCAGCCAGCTGAAGCCCCCTGTCACTCAGCATGGGATATATTGATACTTCTTCTAGAGAGACTTGTACCTCTTTCACCATTGCTTAAGCAATGTTGACAAACAATATTAAACTATTGCAAATAAATAAAAAATGATACAAATGGAGGAAGACAACAAGAACTTCAACAGGGAACTACAACAAGAAATTCAACAGAGAACCAAGTTGTAATACATAAATGTTGCATCAAAACACTTAACACCACTAACTTAATGATGCAGCATATATGACCTAAATCCTCAAAAAGTAGAGAAATAGTGAATCATTCAGTTCTTTTTGGTAATCAATTAGTCTGCTTCACAAAGAACTTAGCTTCAGTCAATTTCAGCCAAACAGCTTAAAGAATTATTAAATTGCAAATTATACTATAAGGAAGTAATGAACACCATAACTGCAAAGTAAGACTACTCGGAAAAAAACATGCAACCTTGGGGTGCTATTGATTTGCCCAAACAGATACATAGATAATTTAAGAAGGAATGGGGGATGAATAAACACAAATTTTAAAATCAAAACATGCTTAAAAATGTCATAAGCTAGAGGGCTTGTAGTTGATCATGATGCAATGCAGAACAGTGATTGAAGGATAAATGTCACATACGCTAAATTATTCTATGACGAGATAAGAGTGTCAAAATAACGGTACCAAACTGACACTCTCTCAACTCATGTAGGAAGCTAGGAACCAAGAAGCCAATAGAG